TAACATTGTAACATGATATAAAACTCAAAAAAGTTGATTTTACATGATATCGCCCCTTTAAATTTGAGTAATATGAACCATTATGTAAAGCAGTACAAGAAGCCTTGTTTTACAAACTTCACTCTGTTAGTTCAGTAATTTACTATTTTAGTATTGTAGTATTTAAATGTTTCAGGAAGCAGCTGCACTCTGCACCACCACCCACAGAAAACACACTTGTGCACGCCCCCCTCATATGCACACACACACAAACACACACACTATAAATCCAACTTACAGCAGGAGTTCTGGGGGCTCKGGTTGCTGTGTGGACCCTTACCTGGATCACATTCTCTTTGTGACTGAGCTGTTCTGGAGGCACATCTGTCGGCATCTGCAAACTGAAACCAAGCCGTGGGAAATAAGGAGTCCACAAAACACCCACACCTCCCTTCTCATCCCCCAATCCAGACCCCCTCTGAAGCACCAGGAAGTAGCCTGGTTCGATTCCTCACCTGTCAGGTGTCTGTCGGCAACTACAAAGTCAGCACGGTCTGTGTGAGGCTCTCTCACTCTCTCTGACTGGTTTCTCTCTCTCTCTCTCTCTCTCTCTCTCTCTCTCTCTCTCTCTCTCTCTCTCTCTCTCTCTCTCTCTCTGAGTGTCCTCAGGTTTGGGTCCAGATCCAGGTCCAGCGCCGTCATTCATCACTTCTGACTGAGTGCTGAGTGACTCACACCACACAACTCTGATTTCAGCTCAGGACAGTGAAAACTTCATCATTTTAGATATTCTGTAATAATACTGCAGTATTATTCAGTATACTGCAGTATAGCACATAATACTGCAGTGTAATAAGGAAGAACACAGCTCTGTAAATAAAGGACATAATTGAAGCTGTGTGGAGWGATGGGCAGTGTGTCATGATGCTCTCAGTGATTCAGCTCATACCTAACACGGCCTCTAGGGGGCAGTGCAACACAAGTACTTTCCTTCCTGCCTGATAGTGATCCTGTTCTTTCTTTAATTCTTTGATCTAACCTAACCAGAGTCGTGTATGAGTCTGGATTTGTTGAAGCCATTCAAACATTTCCCGTCTGACACATTCTGTAAGCTTAAATCAAACCTTTTCCAGCTCGCAAACCAAGATGGATGCGTGGTGTCAGAATGTCAGTGTGACCACTCGCACCCCCCACCCATCCCCACAAAGCAACAATAGGGTCCGGCATCGAGCAGCCAGAGCACTATTAAAGCCCCTAATCCCATTCCTATTGTACAGAGCGCATGGGTGGAGGTGGGGTTGGGGTAGAGCTGAAGATGAGGTCATCTCTAACAGACACAGTCAGGGTCAACGCTTCACTATAGAAGCACAGAGATAAAGAGAGGGATGGAGCCAGCATGTGGCTGCAGAGAAAAGGCCTACCGGAGACACACATACACACAAACACACAAACACACAGCTATGTCCATCTATACAAATGGGGACATTCCCTTGACTTCCATTAAATTTCTACAACCTAACCCTGACCCCCTACCCTAACACTAACCTCACAGGTACCTGACCSTAAAACTAACCTAAACTCAGTTCACACCTTGGTCCTAAACCTAACATCCCACCAATGGCATTTAAACTAAAGGGGGACTCAGTTTAGGTCWACATATGTACCAATTATTCCCACATGTAGGTGACTTCTCAGTCTTTGTAGATCAAACATATTCTGGTTCAGCACAACTCACCTGCGGAGTACCACAGGGTTCCATTCTGGGCCCTATTCTGTTCCTCATCTACATCCGCCCCCTGAGTCAGATCATAAACAAATTCCCTGACATCCTGCGGAGACYGTGCTTTCTCCTCCATGGCTCCCAGACTTTGGAATGCTCTCCCGGTCCATCTGCGCTCCCTTGATGACACTGACACCTTTAAAAATAAACTAACAACACTTTTATTCACTCAAGCATTTAGCTGAAGGTATCCTGCCGTCCACAATATAAATCCTGAACCTAAATTTCCTTGACTGCAAAACACGTATTTTAATTCTGACTGATATCCATTCATTTACATCTTATATGCCATGATCATTGATTCCAATTAGTTACAGGCAAGCCTATCTATTGTGTATACCTCAATTACTTTTTTCCTCCATCATTTTTATTCCATGCCCCCTACTATTCCAAAAAAATTGAGAATGTATTAACAGGAATTTCATCATTTGTATTGTAATTGTCAAGTATTTCTGTTTTTCTATTTGTGATCGATTATTGTACAGCACCTGCAGCCAATCAACTCTTTCTACATTAATGATTATTGTACAGCACCTTGTGAATTCCATTTCTATGAAAGGCGCCCTATAAATAAATTTTTACTTACTTACTTACTTGCTTGGTTACTTACTTACTTACTTACTTAAAATAGTCCTCATATGTCACAAAAAACCCACACACACACATATCCTTGTACTTGCATCAAACTGAGGACTTTGTATTGACTTCCATTATTTTACTGGTCATATCCATAACCCTGATCCCTTATTCCCTTACTGACCCTGATACTTTAAACCTAACCTCACGGGTACAGGACCTTAAAACTAACCTAAACCTTGGTCCTAAATGTAACCCCACACCTGTAATTTACATTTGGACCTGTAGGGAACGGGCATTGGTCCCCACGACGCGCTTTGGATCCCACAAGGAAGTTTATTGGGAAAATTTTCCC